GTAAACTCGCCTTCGCTCTTCTATTCTTGACATCAATCACAAACTGAATGCACGACGAGGGCTGAACGAGATTTAATAAGTTCTTCACAGACGTGGAGCGTGAGCGCAGACATCAGAGACTGGTTATTTCTTCTGATGCTGGTCACACTGGTTCAAGCATGAATACCTGAGATGTGTCAGAACAGCCAAATCACAGTTTTTACGCCACATTTTTCCACAGAGCGGTTTGTGTCACTGCTTCAAACCAAGAAACCTCCCAAATAAAGCAAAACATGTCAGAGTACAGAGATAGCGTGTACACATGACGTGAGGAGTCAGTGGGGTGGTGCGATGCCGGGGGGAGGCACGTGTGACCCCGGGGAACATGCTTTTTATGCCAGAGTAGAATAAAGTGTAATTGCACATCCACTACAGTAGGTGGCAGGGTTGTTATGAAGTGCAGCAAACAAACCTGAAAAAGAAATGGAAAAATATTTAACAGCGACGAAAAGAGACGGAGATAACGGGACAAACGAAAGTGTCCTGAAAGCAGTGTTGACAACTTAGCGACTTTGTCGCTATATTAGGCGAGTTTTCAGACCCCCTTAGCGACTTTTTTCTAAAAAGCGACTAGCAACTAATCTGGCGACTTTTTCTGGTGTTATTGGAGACTTATTTATGACGTCTTTTTGACGTGAAAGCGGGTATCGCTTTTACTCTTAACAAGCAGCGGTGCTGCCGTGGGCACCTCGCCCGTGCCAAAGCGCTCACAGGCGGAGGATAGTCCTCCAGATAGTCCCCCCGCTGCTATCAGGGCAGAAGACGTTCACACCTGTGCATCCAAACTGCAAATGAATCGCGCATGAGCGAAGCCGCTGCTCCCGCACTGACTGTAATGCAGTCAGGTCTTCCTTTACTCTTATGCTGTTTTGTGGATCAAGTTTAAAACTACTTATAAACACACACACAAAGTAACTCCACCAGAGCGCCTGTTTCGGGTCACTTTTGCCGGTCCAAGCCCGGGTAAAGGAGCAGGGTTGGAATTGTGACATTAAAAAACAATAATTGCTAAAATAAATTTAATTTGTAGTTCTAAATAAACTCTAAATGCATTTAGGACGTTTTTACTCACTTTATGTCTCTTCCACGATGTTATTTCTCTCTCCAACAACATAGGTTACAATTAGATTAGCATGACCAATTATGCAAATTAGGCGATGACGTCATTTAGCGACTTCTAGCGACATTTAGGACAGCCAATAGCGATTTTCCTTACTGAGGAGTTGGCAACACTGCCTGAAAGCAAAGACGAGGAAATGTGCCGACGCTGGCTTCACTGTGACTTTGTAGGTTAAAGTGTTTCATAGATATGAGAAGGGCTGAGTTTGGGTTTTTGAGTCGTTAATGTTGCTGATCAATTGTATTTATTTGTTTCATTTTAATTTCAGAATCAAGTCGGTCAAAAGAAAATGTTTACAGTTTCAATAAGGATTCATTTTTTAACGAATCCTTGCTCGGGCGCCTCAGAGCGCGCTCAGCCTCGCTGACCTGGCAGCTCGTCCCGGGTTGATAGACATCCGCGCTACCTATAAAAGTAGGACGTTTTGTCAAAACACTAGTCCGACGGGTCAATCAGCAACCTGCTGACCAATGAGATGAAACCTTTCCCCGTGCTTCCCTGGAACAGCGGTCTAAGTCGCACCTTCAGTCGCTAACCTCACTTGAACTGCAGCTCTCTCTGCGTAGCAGGCACTGGACCCTGTGCTCTCCGCCTCCGTGCAGCATATGAAATAATAAAACACCCACAGCACCTGTAAGGCTCATAAAAAATGCATCGCAGCACAGCACAGTGGAGCTGTCAGCACCGCAGGCTTCAAATAAGCAGACAACAGGTTTAATAAGACGTTCCAGCAGAGCTAGCTGAGTTAGCTGCACAGACCCAGACTGAGGAAGCCGCTCAGCGTCGTACCGCAGAGCAGAGAAACCCCACCTCTGTGTGGAGAACAGAGGAAGACTCAGTCTTCCTGTTAAAGTTTAACTTCTTTCTCTCCGCTGTCGCCATGTGCTTCTCCTGATGGAGTCTCGACCTCGCTGTGAGTCGCAGTCGCAGAGAAACTCGATGTGTTTGTGGAGGATTCTCGTGGGATCTTTGATATTAAAATATCAGGTTCAGTATGAACAGTCGGGTTTGCTCAGAGCGCATGAAGCCTTCTTTTTACCAGCAGCTACATGGCCGGAGCTACTGGAGGTCCTAATAACTGAAACTGAAGAGGCACAGGTGCAAATGTTTAACACCAGCACAAGCGTGTCTCATTCTGGGCACGGCTGTGATGGCTGTCTGAGACAGAACAAACCCATGTGCGATGCAGCGTCTGTCCGGATGCAGGTGTTAGTGTCATGTTCCCGGCGTCTGCGGCTCACACAGCATGGAGAGAGGCCCATTGTTGAAACTGTGCTCATTGCTTGGCACGCTGTGAGATCACCTGCCTCACCGCCGAGCTTGAACCGAGAGCTTGGATTGGTTACGCCTCCTGTACCTGCAGCAGGTGGAAACGCAGCGAGCTGGTGCACACGTGCTAGAACATCATCACATCGGCGACGCCAGGATGTAAATGAGGTCATAGCTCCAGTTTAACGTGTGCAGGTGTTGTGCCAAAAAGTGATTGTCTGCCAAAAAGTGATTTCCAATGTTTCCGTGTATTTTTTATGTGTAATATCTTTACGTATGTTGGTAAATAGACTTCGGTGAACAGCGTTTACAAAGGGGTTATATATAGAATTAAAAGATTATCTGTTTTTTCAAGTATCTTTATAACTCTGTGTTATTGTACTCACATTATAACCAATCCGGTCCTTTTTCCCCACTTACAATATTTTTACAGAACTATTGTAATATTTGCTGCCATTTCTGCTGTCTTACTCTTACAAAAGACATTTTTAATGTTAATGAGATTTTTTTTAACTGCATAAATAAAGGTTCTATAAAAGTCGCTGCCAAAAACTGATTGCGGCTTCTACCTTGTTACACGAATGTTGTTTGTGGCTCAATATGACTTTGTGTCATCCATGAGGGAAGCATTTGACATATGTTTCACATATTATAGGCCAACAAGTTACTTATAGCAGTTTAAATACGAGCAATCAGTTTTTGGCAAATACCGGAAATCAGTTTTTGGCAGACAATCACTTTTTGGCACAACACCGGCCCTGAAGGTTCAGATGAAATGACAGCTGACCCTTCAGGGACGCGTGCGTGCTCAGATCCATCAGGTGAATATTAATGGAGGCGCCGTCAAAGCGCCGCGGGCGGTTTGCTTTCGTCCAAAGAAGCGCTTTTTAGACGATGTTAAAGGTCCGTTTATTTCCAGGCGCCGTCTGTGGACTCGCACAAACTTTTACAAATTGAACAGCCGAGCGTTTGCACCTGTTGACACTTCCTGTCTCGCCCCGGCTCCGTCCGCCTGATGATTGGATGGATTCAGACATGGCAGTGAGGCTCTGCTGCTGGCGGCGGCGATGGCTCGGGCCACTCAGTCAAACTGTGAGTTTGGGACCGAGCGACCGCAAATATTCCTGCGACCCGAGAGATCGCGCAGGAAGAGGAAGAGCTGGGGGAGCAGATAAAAGCCGAGCCGGGGACACAGATGGAGGGCATGTTTCTTCTCCTCCTGTGATTCAGTTTGGGGGAGAAGGTGACGCCTGCTGCTGCTTGAAAAATATGAGTTTTCCAGCCTCTGAGGGAGGATCGGTGGCTCTGCGTCCCTGACTGGAATCTAAAGCAGCGCCTTCACTTCCTGTGAGTCTGACAGAAACCTGCTCAGGTTGTAGATTTTTGGGTGAACCTCAGTCTCAGGGGTTAGGACGCTTTCAGGGACGATTACACTGTTGTTATTAATTATTATTGAGTTCTCTGAGGATTGTGTAGGAGGAGGCGGAGCGAGGGGCACGTTTCCTGTTTTAGAGTCGTTGTTAGTTCGATGTATTTCAGTCCTGTGTGAAATATGAAGGCAGGAGGACTAAGAAAGTCTAAAAGCGCAGGTTAACCCTCTGAAGCCCACGCGTCCAAATCACATGACCAATGCAGCAGCGAGACGCAGCCAAGTGTTGATTGGTCACGGCGTCCACGCTCAGTACACAGAAGTGTTTCGGACACGTGATGATGTGCTGCTGTTGAACTATGGACACCATGTTTGTCTCAGCTCTGCAACGAAGCGTCCGAGCGTGTTCAGGTGTGTTTCAGTCAGCCATGCGTTTAGCGGCCTGTTTTCCTGTGCATGACATCAGCTTTGTGGCATGCACCAGTGCACATGAAGCACGCTGATCCGCAAAGCATGCGTGGCTCGGAGGCGCAGCGGCAGCAGTCAGGCCTGCGTGAGCAGCTCCAGTGTGAGAACTGTCAAACATTTATTCGTCATTATCATGAAATCGTCCTCGTCTCTCCTGATGGAGCTCCTGCCCTCAGACACTGTACCTCTGCGGCTCATTAGCATTCTGTCCTCCATGTTTGACCCGGTCCGCTGTGAGAGCTTCGGTGTATCGACTCTACGATCAGTCAGCTGTTTAATGTGTGCACGGAGAGGCCGAGCTCGCGCTTCTTAAGTGTTTATTTAAGGATTAAGTTGAGCGAGAGCACATTAGTGCTCACGGCCTGCAGGCGTGATTTACGCTGTCACAGCGCCGGGCTGACGGGCAGATCCATCGCCTCGATCCGGAGGGGAGCTCCGCCCTCCCGCTCCAGTGTGGAGTGGAGAATGTGAACCGAGACGCCGTGAATGTATCCCGCTAACACCAGGCGTCTGTTATCGAGTGCAGCGGTGCTGATAGATCAGCTATCAGCACCGCTGCACACACGGGCTGGTTTATTGAGCTGAGGGGGCGTTCCCTGAAACGCCGCCTTGTCATGAATCAGAATCAGAATACTTTATTGATCCCTGGGGGAAATTATTTAAATTATTTATGTTGGTGCTGTTTGATTGAACTTGAGCAGGGCGAACATATTTTAGTCGTCACAGAGCAGAGAA